TTTTTTTCTATTTGAATCTTCATGTTGGGACACCTAAAAACACAGTTGTTTGGCAGATTGGAATGAAAATGATTAAAATAGAAACCTGGGTTTTTTAAAACAAATTTTAAATATTTATTTTTACTTATTTTAGAGAGAAAGCACGCTCAAGCTGGGGGGAAGGCCAGAGAGAGGCAGAGCAGCAGACTCCCCACTGAGCAGGGTGCCTCACCTGGGGCTTGATCCCAGGATCCTGAGATCATGATCTGAGCAGAAACCAAGACTTGGAGGCTTAAGTGACTGAGCCACCTATGCGCCCTGTGACCTAGGTTTTAAAGAAGTAGCTTTTTTTTTTGCTCCATTATAATTGTTTTGGATAGCTCAGATATTAAAGCATTTCTGCCAAAAAGACTAAACCGAGAGTAATAACTTTGTGAGCCTTACAGAAATGTAAATCAAGGTAGTAGAGATGAGAATCTAAAGAAATAGTTTTTTAATATTGTATAAGTACAATAGCAAATCAAGTATTTAATTGATTCTTGAATACTCAAGCTATTCATAAGACTTATGAGTGAACAGAAAATGGATAATTTAGAAATAGGAGGTATTTTCTAATGGAATGGCAGGAATATTTATAACCATATAGAGTTATTAAGAAGCAGAGAACAGGCAGCACTCACTTATACTTTTGATGAGCTGATGCTGTAGCAAGTTTCAATCCATATGTAGAATTTCACTGTTTGGGAGGGAAAACTGTTTTTTTTTTCTTGTAGTGCCTCTATTTATACTTGGGGCTGGTCAATGAAACCCAGTTCTCAACTCACCTGTGGGAGAAGCTGGTCTGTCCAGAAACTGCTTTTCTCAGGAACCCTGTCAGGGCCAACTTAAACAGGTGTGACTGGAGTTGTAAACAGAATGGGCCTGAACGCTCTAGATTATAGACTTGTGCTGATGAGATCAAGCTTGCAGGTTGGCTTCCTCTGTGTGCTACTCAGTTCCGCTAAGTCCCCAACCTGGCCATAGTCTGCACCTTTGTCAGCTGCATGACAGATTCCTATTTGCCAAATATGTATAGAGTGTCAACATGTGAGGGGCCCTGAAAGTGAGGCATATTATTGCAAACTCATTCTCATGATAGAAACATGACTTGCACTGATGACTTCTGGTGGCACCATCTTTGATTCCTGCAATGACCTTGGCTAATTGAATTCTATGCGACCTTTCTCCTCTTCCTGCCTTTTAGTGACCCTCTCACACCTTTTGATGCTTCTCCTTTAACCTCACAGTTTCAGTTCCTTCATGCTGCCTTGCCACCTGACTTCCCAGGTCTCTTAATACAGTACATCCTTCTTAGTTGCTTCACCATTCCCAAATCTAAAAAATGGCTGTGCTATATCATATTCTATCCCCTCTTGCCCTGCTCTTGGCTTATTTCCCTAGGAATAGCAATCTAAGAGAAACAAGTCATACTATCATGTTGAGATCTAGTAGGGTCCAATACTCTCTTGATATAAGAATACAATGCCTTAACTCATAGGAATGGATTTCTACTCATGAAACATCAGTGTGGCAAAATATTTGGTGGCAGATGGGCCTTCATGGATCCTTGGTATCATACCCTTTGTCTACCTTTTTTAAAAGATTTTATTTGTTTATTCATGGGAGACAGAGATTGAGAGAGGCAGAGACACAAGCAGAGGGAGAAGCAGGCTCCATGCAGGGAGCCTGACACCGGACTCAATCCCGGGCCCCCAGGATCAGGCCCTGGGCTGAAGGTGGCACTAAACCGCTGAGCTACCCGGGCTGCCCCCCTTTGTCTACTTTTGAGGAAGACTCCCTCTGGTTTCTTGAAATACCTTATATTGTAACTCTATTGTGAATACTAAAGGAAAAGAATAAAGGAGATAACACACAGAAATTGTTTTCCTCATTACTGCAGATCTGTTTTCTGCCTATTGACCACCTTTTAACTAAATACTTCCTTTTTACTAGCTAAACAAGAGAACAGAGAAAAAGAAACTATGAATCTATTAAATCAAATACATTTTGCTCAAGTAGTAGTGCTTAGAAGGAAATGAATTCTCAGTATACTCTCAAGGTCTGTGTGATAAAGCCAATTGTGAATGCAGTTAAATGTCTTCAACTGCCTTTGAGCATGATCATTGTGTCTCAGAAGCAGATATTTTGATTATCTTCAATACCAACTATGTCCTGTTACTAATGGGCCAAACCAGACTGTTAATACTGTAAAAGCGAGATTGTACAACAGATCATTTAAAGGAAGCAACTAAAGGGATTTAGGGAACAAATGGGAAAAAAAAAACATTCCAAAAGGGTTTTTTAAAAGTAAGTAATTATAGAGGTTGAAGCTACTTTGCTAAGCCAAATTTAATTCAAAAACATTTGCTGTGCATCGTAGGGTTAGGGGAATAAACTAGACTATTTAAGAGTCTTTTTAAATTATCCTCAGGTTTTTGTTTTTGTTAATGCCTGGGAACAGTGTCACAGGCAATCCATTGAAAGGAATAGTATCAAATTCATTAAAGATTATAAAGCAATAAATATTAAAATTACATTTAATCCAGAGAGGATTACCATAATTTACCATGACCCAGAAAGTTGAGCTAATGCAGATTCTCCCCGTCTATTATTGACACTTAGGAGAGTGACACATGACAGGTAAACAACTAATACCAGGGAGTGAATAATAAAGCTCTGCAAGAGCTTGCTAGTCTTAAGTACATATTTAGTCTAATCCAGTTGTGCCTTCTTGCTTCAACAGTGCAAAATGGTCATCAAAATCCATAGTGGTGAATCTGGTACCTTCTGAATCCTCAAAGAAAGTTCAAATGCCCTTCATATAAATTTAGAATGATTTATTTGGTTATTAATTTGTTTTCCAATGAATATATACATAAGAGGATTTGAAGCAGCTTATAACAAAAGCCCATATGTAGCATGGCAATAAAAAATGAAGTCAGAAAGAGAGATCAGAAGAAACCACAGAATTCAAAAACTTTCTTGGGCTGTAGACCCTTTTAGTGATCTATTAAATAGCTGTGGAACATCTCCCCAGAAAAGTATTACTATGCAAATAGGCATAGCAACGTTTAAGCCTATCCAGGCACCCTCCCCCTGTGTGACTTTGAACCCTGGTCAAGAACCCTTGAATAGAGGAAGCGGTATCTTGAGGTAAGGTAGTTATTGCATTTGGGGACACCTGAGAGGCCAAGTTGGTTAACCGTCCCAATTTTGGTTTAGGCTCAGGTCCTGATCTCAGGGTCATGAGATCAGCCCAGAGTTGGCTCTTCACTCAGCATGGAGTCTGCTTAAGGTTCTTTTTACCTCTCTCCCTCTCCCTCTGCCCCTCCCCCTCCCACCTCCCTCCTATGTGCCTGTGCACACTCCCTCTCTGCCCCTCTCCCTTGCACCTGCACACACTCTCACTAAAATAAATAAAACTTAAAAAGAAAAAGATAATGTTTGTCCTTTTCCGATTGACATTATATGGTCTGATTCATTTGGGGAATATAAAAAATAGTGAAAGGGAATAAAATATAATAATAAAATAGTGAAAGGGGAGGTGGGCGGGGGTGGGGGTGACTGAGTGACGGGCACTGAGGGGGGCACTTGATGGGATGAGCACTGGGTGTTATTCTATATGTTGGCAAACTGAACACCAATAAAAATAAATTTATAAAAAAGAAAAAGATATTATTGCACTTGAGTATTGTATTTAGCCCTGAGCTTCCTGTCAACTGAGGTTAAGAGATAAATACACTGGGCTGAGGAGTTCTCAAAATCTACAAAAAGAAGCAGATCAGTTTACAAAATTATAAGTGAAACACATAATTTTAAAATGGCAGTGTTTATACGTTTATGAAAGGGTTTTTTCTAAAGAGTAATCAAGTAATATAAAGGGATGTTGCATAATTTGATTGAAATTCTTTGAAATTAAATAATTGGAGGTAGAATATCTATGATAATTGTGCTGGCTCGTATATTAAATTAGCCAATGTCATTTCCAACCATTCTGGGAAGGAGGGAATCTACTGTATATGTCTTTCTTTAATGGTAGATTTACCCACCTAATATTATTTGATTAAAACTGACATTAATATAATATATTCCCATGAGCAAACATCAGCTGAGCAGCAAGGGAGGCCTTAGGGTATAAAAAGAAATCAAACTGTGATTAAATATCTATTAATAGTTCATACCATGGAAAACAGACATTTAGATAATAGCAAATAATCACTTTAGGTGCCTGCTGCTTCCAACTTTTCTTGAAGGCAAATAAATAACACAATCATTCCTGTCACAATTATAAGCAGAATCAGTATAGGGTAGGGGTTAAGAACCTTGGACAAAGTCACTGAACTTCTTTGAGTCTCAGTTTTCTTGTCTGTAAAATGAAAATCATAAATGAATCTAAAGGCTGCTCCTAGGCTGTACAAGGGTCCCCTGGAAGTATTTCTTTTGTGGGACTCCTGTCCAAACACCTTGAGTCCCCTAAAATCTATGTCAGTGTCATCCTAGCTATCCAATCTCACACAATCCTGTGAAGGAAATACCACATGACTAGCAGGAGTAATCCATTTGCCAGACTAGTCTGCCAGAATTGGGACCTGTTGGTGGGGCCCCAGGACAACCACATAAGCACCAGTGCTGGATGAAGCTCTTTGAAGGATCCAGTCAACTGCAAGTAGAAGGTCACTGTAGAGGACTGAAAATTCCACAGAGGCACAGAGCTAGAATAGGGATCCTATTGGCAGGTCTTGAAGGATGCTGGTCTATCTCAAAGGAGCAGTAGGAAGATTGGCAGGTCTAAGAAGGATGCTGGTCTATATCAAAGGAGCAGTAGGAAGATTAAAGTAATCTATGTAAAGCACTTGACATGCAAATTCCGTGAAGCCTGGCTCACAGTAAGTCCTCAGTAACATGTTGGCAGTGATTATTGTGCTTATCATTAGTATTAATGATACTCACTGCATTTCATGCCCAATCTGGTTTTCTTTCAGTGGATGGCTGCATTGACTGGTCAGTGGATCTCAAGACATACATGGCTTTGGCAGGTGAACCAGTACGAGTGAAATGCGCCCTTTTCTACAGTTATATTCGCACCAACTATAGCATGGCCCAGAGCACTGGGCTCAGGCTTATGTGGTACAAAAATAAAGGTGATTTAGAAGAGCCCATCATCTTTTCAGAGGTCAGGATGAGCAAAGAAGAAGATTCAATATGGTTTCACTCAGCAGAGGCACAAGACAGTGGATTCTACACTTGTGTTTTAAGGTGAGTGCTACATGAAAATATTATTCAGTACCATAGCTAGTAGTTTTTTCATTGGGCCTGGAGTATATAGAGGTGTTGCTCATGTTATACAATGGACATTTTCTTGAAATATAGTTGCAGAGTATGTGGAGCTTCAGTAAATTAAATTCTAATTATTTACTGGAACTACAGAGTGGATTCTTACCAAATTTTCATAAAATGGGACTTTCATATACTGTGAATACACATATAATTTAGAAAAGTTTTGATCCATTTCTTCCTTGACTCCACCCCTACCTTAGGGTCTTATATGAACAGTTGTTTTTTCATAGAGCCGGTTGGCTCAATGATCTTAATACCTGACTATGAAAATGGCCTAAAGTATCATTTAGGCCAAGGTGTCTCCTTTTTTGTTGATGGAAAATAGCTTCAGGTGCTGCTGGGAGATCTCTTAGCAAATGGACTGCTGTTGAAATTTTTCACATAATTTCCAATATGACCTTGAGTCCACTGTATCTAAATATTCAACATGGAGCCCTGTAAACACACCGTCATCATGAGTTCCTAGGTGCTTTGTGGGGAATATATCACAGATACAATTCATTTTTGCAAGAAGCAATCTGCTTTATCTGTAGAGATTCCACAGTATGTCCTCCCTTCCCCTTGTGCCCTGGTGCTAGGATCTAGGATCTAGAATCTCAGATAGAGACTGCATTAGGTATTGAAGTAGATAGCTGAAATGACCTTTACAACATTTTCAATTCTACCATTTTGGGAGTCTCTGATCTTGCTCACCAGGGACCTACACTCTATTATTTGATTTTAACTTCTTGGAAATGCAGACCCTTCCTATTTTTGTCTCCTATGGACTTTGATGCCGAAGCTATGTCACCTCTTTATCAAAAACACTTTGAACTCCATGGTGAGGCCTCATTGTTCAAAAGGCCAGGAGAACAAGGTGGTGTATAAATAATCTTCTTGATGCTCTAAGCATCAAATGTGTTTTGTATCTGTGTGTTTTGAGGGGGGGGGTTTGGGGAAGCAACTGGTGAGCATAGTTTCTGTTTGTGGTGGGCAAAAACTCTAGGATATTGGCAGAAATAGCAATCATTCTCATCACATCCTTAGTGATATCAATATTTTCATGTACTTGGGCATCCCGTAGCACAATTGAGAAAAGGATGTTAATTCAACTTCAGTGATGGCCACTGTATTCTTTTGGGTGCTGCTACCCTTTTCCTGCTTACCTCCTCTCCACCCTCCGTGCTCATTCAATCCTGCCAATCTAAGACAGATCTCTTTTCCTCCTTCTGATCCATCTGCTTTTTTGTTTTGTTTTGTTTTTGTTTCCACAGATTTAAAATTTTATTTGTAAAGCATCAATTCACTGTATAGATGTTCTATACTGATAATGAATTATCAAATTAATTATTGTTTACTTTCCCTGTCCTGCTTATATCCCCAGACTTGCTACTCCTCTTTTCTAACCCATTATCGTACTTTGAGCAATGTTAATAATCCAGTGTGTATCCTTGCATACCTTCTCTCTATTCTTTGAAGGATATCTATCTATCATCTATCTATCTATCTATCTATCTATCTATCTATCTATCTATCATCTATCTATCTAGATGTATATGGGGATTTTCTCCTCATTATTTTACAAAATAAGAGTTATATATTTCTCTGCAGTTTCTTTTCTCACTAAAAATACATAGTGGGAATCTTTCCAAGTCAATAGAGAGCTCACTCATCCTTTTAAGTATATGATCTGTGTTGCTTAATAGTCTATAATGCCACAATTTAGTCAATTATTTTCCCATTTATGTGCATGTATTTTGTTTCCAAGTACCCTTCTATTTGCTTGTATATAAATTTATAAATTTCACAAGTTTTAGACTTACATAATTATTACAAAGATATTACAGTAAGTTCCTACACTCATTTCCGCTATTATTAATACCTTACCTGATTATGGAACATTTGTTACAATTAATGAACTAATAGTGATACATTATTATTGACTAAAGTCCATGTTTATTCAGAGTTCCTTAGATTTTCCTTAATGTCTTTTTGCTATTCTAGGATCCTATTTGGGATCCCACATTACATTTAGTTGTTAGGTCTCCTTAAGCTCCTTTTGGCTGTGGGAGTTTTTCCTACTTTACTTATTTCTTATGACCTTGACAGTTTTTTTAAAAGATTCTATTTATTCATGAGACACACACACACACACAGAGAGAGAGAGAGAGAGAGAGAGAGAGAGAGAGAGATATCCAGGCAGAGGGAGAAGCAGGCTCCATGTAGGGAGCCTGATGAGGACCTGATCCCGGGACCCCAGGCCCTGGGCTGAAGGCAGCGCCAAACCACCTAGTCACTCGGGCTGCCCAGACCTTGACAGTTTGAATAGTACTGTTCAGATATTTTGTAGAATCCCTCAGTTGCAATTTATCTGTTACTTATTTCTTGGTTAGATGGAGGTAATGTGTTTTTTTGGGGGAAGACCACAGATGTAAAATATTCTCATTATATCATATCAAGGGACAAAGTATCAATATGCCTTATCACTTTTGATACTGACCTTGATCACCTGGCATGAGGTAGTATTTGTCTTTCTCCCTAGTAAAGTTACTTTTTTCTCCTCTTTTTTCATACTCTCCTCTTTGGAAGAAAGTAGTTACTCACAGCTCATAATTAAGGAGTGGGGAGTTATTTTCCACCTCATCAAGGGCAGAGTAGCTACATAAAATTACTTATAATTCTTCTTTATGGAATATTTGTCTTTTTACTTCTATTTAATCAGTATGAACTCATGGATATTTATATTATACATTAGGTAATAATCCAATGCTACTTTATTTTTTGGCTTAAATTCTTCTACCTTTGTCCATTGGGAGTTCTTTCAGTTGGCATAGCTATCCCTTTGACATAATCTCATTATTGTGTGTGTATGTATGTGTGTGTGTTTGTATGTCTTTTGAGCATTTCTTTATAAGAAATGCACTTTTTAAGTGCTAAAATTAGCACAATAGGATGCTCCAGACTTATCTTATATTTCCTGCTCCAGTCCTAGTCTTTCTGCAGCCATTTTTCCAAGGACCCTAATTCCTTTTAATGGAGAATTTAATTAGAAACAAAGATTTATGCCCTAGTATGTTCATTGCTACTGTGGTGTGATTGCTTCTAGGCCTTCTCAGTTGACAGCCTATTTGCTTTTTAAACAAAGCACAAGTGGGATTTCCCAGTGCTTCTGAAACCCTTTCCTGTAGTTTCCCGTAGGTGGCCCTCTCCTTCAAGTATACATCAGATTGTCTATTTTATTTTATTTTATTATTATTTTTTTAATAAATTAATTTTTTTATTGGTGTTCAATTTACCAACATACAGAATAACACCCAGTGCTCATCCCGTCAAGTGTCCCCCTCAGTGCCCATCACCCATTCACCCCCACCCCCCACCCTCCTCCCCTTCCACCACCCCTAGTTCGTTTCCCAGAGTTAGGAGTCTTTATGTTCTGTCTCCCTTTCTGATATTTCCCACACATTTCTTCTCCCTTCCCTTATATTCCCTTTCACTATTATTTATATTCCCCAAATGAATGAGAACATACACTGGTATTATGCTGAGTGAAGTAAGTCAATTGGAGAAGGACAAACAGATTGTCTATTTTAGATATCGTCTAAGTCAGTGGTTCTCAACTCACATGCAGATCAGTAGAAGAGAAAAAGGATGATATCTCATTGAGCAGAGGTTTGGTTCATGCGGTAGATCTTTTATTCATGCAATAGATCTTAAAGAGTGATTGGGACTGACGAGGTGAGTAAAACTTTTGAAAATCTTACCTCATGTGTACCTTGGTGAGGAAAATAAAAGCCTTGGGAACCACTGTTCTGAAGGAAGCAACAGTCTTTTGTCAAATCAGAGGTAGAGAAATCTCTTCCAGAATGACACAAGTGATCTAGCTAGCATCTGGATGTGTATAATAAATATGTTTTTCAGGTCTAGTACTGGCCACTGAATCCAAATATGTGCCAAGTGAAAATTTCAGTCCATATAGGTAATTTTATGCCATTGCCAGGAGAGTGACTTTTACAGTGAAAAAGGCTCTGAATTTGACAATGTCTGCATCTACCTAACATCCCCAATTTGACACCACTTTAAGATAATTATGGATGATTTTTTTACTCTGCAATATTGACCTCGTTAAAAATTGATCTATTGATTTTAGTGTGTTCTAAAATACAGACATGACATATTTAGTAATATTATCCACCCATTTTAATCATAGCAAAAAAATTACTGTTTGTGATCTTTTTGTAGCCGATCACTCATTTTTGTGTTTTTTCTTTGGCCAGTTTCAAGAGTGATTAGTTAAATTTCTCAGTATGTTAGCAAAGGATTATAGTAATAGAGAAATGTTGGAGAAGTGAGTCATATTTTGAGAGGCAGTGCCAGTCTAAGAATTAGTCTCCCCCCCCCCACCTTGCGACTTGAATCTTTTCAGCGGAGGCACTAGTAGGATAAAAATGATGAGAGTAATCTTAATTTGACAAAAATCCCACATATCACTTTGCCAACAACTTGGAACAAGGGATGACTTAAGCTATGGATGAAGACAAATATATTGATATAATCCTGAATTTTATTCATAGGCAGTGAAATGATTAAGTATTATCAAACATCTGTAGAAACCTGAGTGTTTCGGGATCGCAATAGCCAAGTGAAGTGAACCAGTTATAGGTTCAAAAACCATTATGACTATTTACTTCTCCATCAAAGTAAACAGGACAAGGAACCCCCTTCTTAAATGGGAACATAATCCAACTATTTTTGGCCTTTAGTAATCGTTGAAATAAATGCGGTTCTCAAAATCTGTATGTCTCACAAACTCTTTCTAAAGGGTTTCTTAGTGTATTTATCTAGCCCAGAGGCATGACATTTACCTTGCTATTCATCTCATTTTAGTGATTACTACTCCAACAAAACAGCATCATCAGAAAAGTTGAGGCAGTACAGATATT